TAACCGTAATCCCAATTTCGCACGAGACCTTTATATCCCCCCCCCAAGACTGTCAGTGCCAATATATTCCTAATCGACTACCTGTAGTCATTCTCGAATACTTGCGGTGAAAGATATTCGTAAGAGCCACATATCCGCGATAGCCGACGATCAGGCTCATCGTCCGATTCACGATAGCAATCAGCTAAACCAAAATCAGCGATTTTGAGATTTCCTAGAATTAAATACCACTTAGAATTTCACATAATTTCGGGTTTCAGATTAATCAGGAATCAGATCGATCCTACCTCGCTTATCAATCAAAATATTTTCGGGCTTGATATCACGATGAGCAACGTAGAGTTCATGTAAAAAGGCAAGTCCTTTGAGGAGCTGACGGAAGTAGTGAACAGCTGCTCTCCGACCAACACCGCCTTTATTCACTAAAAAGAAATTACTAGTTGCCGACCTTCAGAGTTTAGAATTACCACTCTTACCAGGAAAGTCCGCCAACTTACATGGAACTTTGAATGGAGACTTGATCGAAGAGTCTATAAGGTTATTTACAAATATAGATAGCAAAACTGCAACCTGCATTTCACAAGCAACTTATGAGCAGGTAAAGTTTGTAATGGTGGGGTGGAGCGAACGTCGAACCTTACCACTGAACCACCACGACTCGATTCGACGTATGCGATTCCTCGCTTATGCTTCACAGCTCACCACCAAGCCTCCACCCTGCACCATTACAAACTTTACCTGCTCATAAGTTGCTTGTGAAATGCAGGTTGCAGTTTTGCTATCTATATTTGTAAATAACCTTATAGACTCTATCGATCTACCCAGGTCTCCATTCAAAGTTCCATGTAAGTTGGCGGACTTCCCTGGTTAGAAAAAAAGGTGCATAGCACTTGACATTCTTCTTCACAGTCTTTACAACATGAGAAATGACCCACTAGCTATTTCGAAAAGATCGCTTCCGTCCACATATTCCAGATAGATGTGCTTTTCATTCGAGACGTGATCATCACGTGAACCGTAACAGTGCACAATGTAGTTATTACTAGTTTTGGTCAGAGTTTCTTGCAGCATAACCTGAACAGTATCCAGAAATTGATATCTGTGCTCAGGATCTAAAGTTACACAGCATATACTTGAAGGCAGTGTTCAGCGCTGCGGCGCCTTGGAACTTTTGTCAACGCCTTAGACCCTGTGGCACAGAAATTTAGAGCAGAGCCATTGCCAAAGCACTGGAGTGTGCAAAAAAACATGCAGCGAACACGGGGATCGGTTTTTTTCCTTCAAGATGAGGAGTCCGGGTGACTGAACTACTTGTCAAGCTTGAAAGATTGGAATGTGTGAGGCATGGTCATGGGATGCCAGAACAAAGGCAAGAGCCTGAGAGTGCAGAGAAAAACAGAAAACTAATGCAAATTAGAGGAACTGCGCAGGGGTAATCCGCAATGCGGTGTCAATACCTAGGAGACCGCGCCTTGTCGTGGATTACACCCGGGAACAGAACATCGTCAGGCGCTCGTACAACGTTGCAGAAACCCCAACAGGGGAGGGGTGTATTCGGCCTGGGAACAGGGTACAGCTTCGTGATGTGAGGGCGTGATGTAGGTACGACCCCCCCC